CGATTAGGAAGTTAAAGGGAGCTTAAGATAGACTTACGTGGAAGGCTGATTTGGCTTCAGCCAGTGACGATCTGAGTTGATTCACTTCATCAGAAAGATTTTTTTCTTCCACTTTCGCTTTTTCTAAATCCACCTGAGCTTTTTGCAGCTCGCTTAGCTGTTGAGGTCCAGCCAATTTCTTAGCATCTCGCAATTGCCTTTCCCTCTCGACAAGTCTATTTTGAGCCGACTGAGCCCCCTCTTTCGCCTCTCGAGCTCTCTCCTCTTCCCTGTGAACAGCAGACATTGCCAAATCCAATTCCTGTTTAGCAATAGCCAACTTTGAAGCGGCTTCATCGGCGGCTTTTTGAACCGGTGCTAGGGCGGACTCAGCAGCCGCCATCTTATTCCTTAAAGGAGCTGTTTCTTGCGAGAGAATCTCCATGGTTTCATTGTAAATGGCCTCCTGCTTAGCTCGATTGGCATTCAATTCCTCGAGCTGGATTTGGAGGGTCTTTCGACGATCTTCAGCCTCGTCGGGCAATCGGCGAATTTCTTCCAGCTTCTTGCGTTCCGCTACGAGGGCTTTCACGATGCGCTTGCCCTGAGCCTTGAGATGAGCATGTTCATCGCGGATTTGACTATCTTCAGCTTCGAAACCCGCAAAACGGGCTTTGGCTTCACGATGTTGTTCTTGCAATGTGGCGGACTGTTTGTCACTCTCGTCACGTTTGCATTTGAGTTGGTTCAATTCCTCTAGAAGAGTTGTTATCTCCTTTGCGAATTGCTAGAAGAAGAAAATAGAGAATATTATTGATCTGTTATTTTAATGCAGTTAAAATGCAACGATTGTATTAAGATTTGATACACAACGCTTACCAACTACTATTAGGATTTCCTGTGCTTTCATTCGAAATTTTACATAATAGGATTCCCTACAATCGATTAACCAGCCATCACCAGCAAAGAATTTGGTTATAAATCCACTAAACAAAAGTTAAATTTTAAAACATTAGACAAAAAAATTCGAGCATTTCTTGATCGTAGATTTTTGCTTTGATGTGGATTTGTAGACATCTCAAAATAAGTAACTCTGCAAGACGTCCACGTGGTGCACCCTGGGCAACGTATATTCATACGGCACCACGTGGTGCACCCTGGGCAACGTGTACTCATACGGCAAGTAAGTCTATCACGTGGTGCACCCTGGGCAACGTATACTCATACGGCAAACAAACTGGTGCACCCTGGGCAACGTATACACGGCAAAAGAGTCCGGGTGCACCCTGGGCAACGTATACTCATACAGCAAAAATGTGGTGCACCTTGGGCAACGTATACTCATACGGCAAAAAACGGTGCACCCTGGGCAACGTATATTCATACGGCAAAAAGTCTATTAACTGGCAGTTGACTTCCCACTTCAAACTATCATCATCTCACTTTATGCCATATTCGACTATTTCCACAGTACAAACCTCACCTTTTTTCTACCTATGTGTTTGTCTCTTACATCTTTGAAACACTCTTCTGTCCCCCCCCCCCCTCTTGACTATTTTCAATTTGATGTTCCTTCCTCTCTGTGAAGCCTGAAGTCAACTAAAGGGCAAATGATAACCATCAAGACGCCTGTCATTTGATAAAAATAAATAAATAACTCTGCAAGACGCTAATCATCTGGTTCAATCCAAATCATTGATAAGCGACAACATAAAAACACCTAATGTTTCTGGAATAAACAACATTATGCAAAATAAATCCACCCCCACACCAAATCGATACATCTTTTAAAAATCATAAAGATAAAAAAGGAATTAACCTCAACTTTCTGCTCAACCTCCACAAGTTGTTCACGATAAAGGGCTTCATTATTTTGCTCTTGCAGTTGGTTCTTCTGATAGATGACATTTTTAATACGGGTCATTTTGTTAAGCAAACGCAGAAAGGCGACAGCTTCATCTTTAACAGACTCCAATTCATTTCTCTCCTTTTCAACAGCCTTAACCCGAGCCAGTTTTTCCAGTCGAATATCCTTCAATCTTTCAATAC